ACACACACACCTTTGTGGGGAGGACAGGTTTCAAAATCTCAGGTTGTGTGATGGCGCACTTGGGTCTTGAGCAGACAGGAGGCAGCAGTGGAAGCCTCCGTGAGCAGCCTTGAGCTCCGGGAAGCGAGTGGGGCGTGTTCTGTTAGGAGGCCACTAGAGTTGAAAGGTCGGCATCTGGGCATCAACCAAGAGTTTGAGGCCCAGAAGAAGCTGGCTGGCCAAGTACTACGTCCAGGAAGAAACCCAAAGATGGACCCGAGGCTCAGAGATGAGGAAGGAGAGACGGGAAGAAGAGAGTAGAAGCCTTGGAAGTTGGAAGTGGCCATGATGTTGGGAGAGCAACGTTTGGGGTGGAGGAGGGTCGGAGAGGGGTGCGATGCTGGGTGGCTGTAGGAGAGGGAATGGCAGGGTGTATGGGAGGCAGGAGTGACCAGGGGAACCCCAACTCCAGGGCACCCCCACCCCCACCCCATTCCTGTGACACACCCTTCCTTGGTCCCTGACACCAAGCGCCACCTCTCGAACCTGTCCCAAGTTCAGTGCTCAGAGAAGGAGGTGGGGGGGTGCCCAGGGAGAGTTGTCTTTTCCTTCCCCACCCCCCTAGCAGGCCAGGACAAAGTGGGGAAGGGTTCTTCCCAGCCCCCAACTGTCAGGGTCAGGGCAGCCATCTCTGGGCTGACGTCACAGCAGGCCTCCAGCAAGATCCTGCGTGTGTTTTCATTCCTGGGCCACGAGACGGAAATGATTAATGAGAAACAGAGGGCGGACAGAGAGGAGTGGGGGGAGGATGGGGCCGGCCTGTCAGCCCCATTGTCCCCAGCCCCAAACTGGGGCCTTATTCTGCCCCCGGGTTGTCCACCTGACAAGGGCCTTTCAAGGAAAGCAGAGGGAGTCCCGGCTCAGACAGGTAGAGACTCCTCCTGGGGCGGGCTGGGGTCTGAGACACACTGTGAAGTGGCCCAGCAAGGGCTTGGCTGTGCCATCCAGATGTAGCCAGTCTGGGTTTCCTTGGGCACCCCCTTACAAGGCATCCTGACGTGGTAGGGAGGACACCGAATCCTAGACGGGTTATAGGAAGGGTCCAGGTCTTGTCTTTGCCCCCAGATGGCTCTGTGACCTGAGGCATATCATTCCTTTTTATTGAAATGGTGACCCATTACGTCCTCAGAATGGTGGATAAATGTGCCTTGCAGCCGGGAAGAGGACAGTAGACACAGAAAAAATGAAACGGGGCCGGTGAACACTCGGCACTGCAGAGCTGCTGGGGTCAAGGCCAAGTCTGGTGCTTTGGGCTGTGAGAAGCCATTGCCCTGTCTGGGGAAGGACCGTGGGGGAAGGCAGGCATGATCCTGTTCCTTCCTCATTGTCCCAGTCTGCAGGGCCTGTCCCCATGCTGACTCACCTCAGGACCACTGTGTATGCGGCTCCCACTCCTTCCCTGTCTGGCTTCCAGTTCCAGGGTTACCTCTTGGAGTAAGTGGCCTTCCTCGACTGAATTCCCAGTTTGAGCCCCTTCGTTACAGGCACTGGGTGCCTACCTCTTTGTAGTACTTACTTCACCACACCTTACGGTCTATCAGCATCCTCCCCTGAGCCATGCATGCCCGCAGCCCCTCACACTAGGGGTAGATGGATGCTGGAAAACTGTATCCTGAATGAGTGAGTGGAGGAGGGAGGGAGAGATGCCAAAAGGTTCAAAGGGATCCACAAGGTACTGGGGGTCCCAGCTCCCTCTGCTGGGCATTCGATAACTGATTGGAGGGCCCCCAACACTGCCCAAAGGCTAGCTCTGCTCTCTAGAGCTTTGATTTCTCACAGGGCTGCCTTTTTGTAGTGTTTATTTGGGCTTGTCATGATGGGCACTTAAATGCCTCATTAGACGGCAAGCTCTTGAAGGCATGGCCATCTCCGTTCTCCTCCGCCCCAGTCTTCCTGACGCCCAGGATGATGTAGTGTTTGGCATGTACTAGATGTTCAGTAAACACATGAAAACAAAGTAAATATTGTCCAGAAGGAACCCACCCCCAGCCCCCACAAAGGGCCCAGGACCAGTGTGCCAAGGTGAGAAATGTCCGGTCCAGTCCAAGTCCCCTCAAACCTGCTGATGAGCGTCAGGGCCCTCGTGGTCTTCAAACTGCCCAAGTCGAGGGAGCCTTATTTGAGAAGCCGGGACAGGGACCAGGCCAGACCCACAGCAGGTGCCCAGCAAACCCATGGGTGCAGGCTGTTTCCTTGCTCGCTCAGCATCCCCACCTCTTGTAGCCCCGTCCCTTCCAGGGACCTGCCTGGTGCGGGGCGGTTTCCTCCTGCTTTGGACAACTCAGCTCCTATTCTCGCAAACACCGGCCAGTGTTTCCACTTCATGTTAATCTAAACAGCAGCTGCCCGTTTTGAGCACTCCATAGGATCCCAGCACATACTTGACATGTACGCATGACTGACTTCATGTTCATCACACGCTAGGACACAAGCTCAGAAACAAGAGAGTGGGCTTGGAACCCAGGCTTGCCTACCCTTGAAATCTCTAGCCCTTCCCACCATGCCCCAGAATCGCCGGTTTCTAATCGAGTCTGGTCTCCCGGGCTTAAATGCAAGGGTGCGTCCTTGGGGCCAACGTGGAAGATGGGGATACCATCACGGGCTGAACACAGCCTAGGGCAGCTACCTCTCCCTGGGCAGTGCCTGTTCTCGGACCTCGGGTGGAGGCCAGGACAAGGTGGAGAGAAGCAGGTGAGGCAGAGCTGGCCCAGTCACCCCGTGACGGGGAGGTCTAACTTCCTGCCCCTCGGAGTATAGACGCGGTAATCTAGACAGGGCCGAGGAGATGGCCTCTCCTTCCCTAACCACAGCCACCCCTGGGTCAGGACTCCTTCCAGGTCTCCCAGTGAAATACTAGTTAGCTGGATTAGCTGTCCCTTCCTGCCCTAAAGGACCCAAGGGAGGTGCCTCTCCCAAAAGCCTTTCTTCCTCCCCTGACCCTGCTGTCGTGGGCGCTCACAGGGTGCATGGGTCTGTGGTGGTGGAGCTGTGAGCCAGCCTACGGGAGGTCTGGAGTGCTGTGTGCACTGGGGGCGGGGCGGGGCGGGTAGTTGCTCTCCACAACTCCGCTGGGCCCTGAGCCCTCATGCTTTCCCAGCTGGACACAGGTTTCCAGGGGTCCTGCGTGTCATGCATCAGGTGCCCTCTCTGCCGTTTCTGTGAGCAAACGGGTGGGGAGAGGTCCGATGACATGGAAGGAGGGCATCCTGATTTGCATGGCGGGCAGTACATGTGGTGGGCTCCACAAGGCCCATCCAGCACCTTTGCAGCCTGGATTTGGGGGCTGGAGGTTCTGTCTGGGGTGCAGGCACATACCCTGTGGCCCCAGGCCCCTCCCTATGCCTTCCTGGATGGTCAGCACCCACAATCTGGCCCTCCAGGCAGGGGGCAAGGTCTCACTTAGTCTGGAAGTGCCACCCTCCCCCCCCCCCTCTTCCTATGATGGTCAGAATGGATGGTGAGTGGATCACCCCAGGAGACCCTGCCCTGAACCCCGGGAACAGAAAGTGGACAATAAAACAGTAGTGTGGGATCTAAGCGACCCTCTAGCTGAACCCCCCAGTCATCAGATGACAGTTGCGGGGCCCCTGGGCCCCGGGGTGTCCCCGCCCCACCACAAGTAGGTGTTGCATTCCCATCCCTCTCCCTGAAGCCCCAGGGGCAGCAAGGCTGGGACCCTGGGGTGCCCCTCAACCCTATTGCCATGTGTGGAGCTCAGCTCAGAGAGGGCAATATGAAGTAGTGCCCCTCACCCCTCCAGCCTTCCGGTGGTGGAGTAGGGATGGAGCAGGGGGGTGGGGGGTAAGCGCCATGTCCCCGGCACCTGAAATAGCTTTCCCCTGGCTTCATCGCTGGTAGATCCCGTCAACCACCTGCTCCAGCTTTCTGCCCTCATTATCCAGACTTGGAAGCTCTGCCCTGCCTGGAAACTTCGGGGAGGAGTCAGGCCCACCTCTCCTGAAGCGCCCAAGCTACAGCACGGTCCCCCCCTGCGGCCCCCAGGGCCCCTGCGGACACGCAGGCCCCCCTGGAAACCTGTGTCCAGCTGGGAAAGCATGAGGGCTCAGGGCCCAGCGAGTCGTGGAGAGCACTGC